CAGTACTGAAAGTATTGTCGAAGGGTTCATTTGCACTTTAAACCCAGGACCCCAGTGGTGAGATGCGGGTGCACTGCAGGTCTACTAAAGATCGTTTTTAAGGATTATATATTCCAAGAAGGACTAACTTCCAATATGTCAGTACAGTTGCAAACGTTTTGGTGTTTAAGTTTCCTTACAGCACTTCTCAATCACACTCGTGAAATCGTGAATTTTTTTTGAAACACAACAGAGTTTTGGTGGACGCCAATCAAAGTGTTTCCCAGCATTGTCAGAAAACCCCAAGTTTTTAAGGGCATGTGCCTATGGAATGTCATGGAAATGCAATGATTGATGTCCACCAAAATCTACGTCACCACAATGGCAAATTGTACGATTCCACACATGTGATTGAGATAGAGCTATTTTAATAAAGGTTGAACTAGCGAATGACTATTTTGAAATAGCTGTATATACAAAGGTYCTATCATTATTCCATTAAATTTTACCAACCTCCTTCTGGTACTCTTGGAACTGATTTTCTCTTTCTGCTCTGTAGCTAGTAATTTCTTCTACAGCTTCTTCTTTAGCTTGCTTCAATCTTTTAGTTTTACCTAAAAGAAAAAAAGATGTTACATTTAACAATAACTTCAGAGACAAGCCAACATGGATCAGACAGATCTATATAGAAAATGTATTAACGTTTGACTCCTGGGCATTTTTGAGGTTTTTATTGTTTTTCTGGACCTAAACATTACTGGGGGGATGGTACTTTTGCCCGTTTAGGGTAGGGATGTGCAACTGAGCTCTCTGAACCCTGACCTTGTTCCAGATCAAGGACAAATAGACATACATGTATGAACTTGTTCATACCTAGGGCCACCAGGCCCATAAGTACATAATTTTTAGATATAAATATTGTATTATTAATAATTCTAATCATGAAAATCCAACGTATATTTTATTTAAGGCTGATAAATAAAGCTTATTATTGTAGATAAAGTCGCTGAAATTCATACACTGTTCCAGAGTAAAATCGCTAAAACCATACCCTGGTGTATATTAAAAAACCTGTTCCGGTACTTAAACTGAAAATAGATACCCTGTTCAAGAGAGAGAGAGAGATAGAAAGAGAGAGTGATTTCTATACCTTGTTCTGGAGAGCGAGTGCAATTTTATATACCCTGTTCCAGAGTAGAATCACTGAATATCATATTCTGTTTTGAGGTACATACCGATATAGATAACATGGGGGAGTACCCCCCTCCCTCCCCTGGTAAACCTTCTGCAAGCCCTAGCCTTCCTAGTTAACAGCCTTCCTAGTTAACAGTCATCCCCTTGAAAGCATTTTAGGTCTGCCACTGAAACAACAGCTTTTACTTGGAAAGGAAGATGGCAAGTCTCATCCGTGGAAAGATTCAACAAATATCTTTTAAAAATAGCCTATTTTTTTATTCTTGGGGAAAATATTTCATTTTGACAATAGATAATAGAAAATATTTGGAAATTTTCATGTGCCAAACTTTGCACACCTAGATTCAAAATCAGTTGGGATGTAGTTCAATTTGTAGATGTAGTACAATTTTTACTGTTGAGAATAAAGATTCATTGAGTTGTCCCCTGAATTGAGTTTCTTTGACACATAATTATAAAATATATATTTATCATGTATTTTAAAAACGCCTAGCCAAAGAAGTATTGGGCAGTAAGATAAAATACAAACCCAATCGCATTAATGTTTTATTAATATATAGTGAAAATAAGAATGTTCCAAGAGAAAAATCAAACCACTTGCATTTTAATTGTTAAATAGAACTATATATTTTCCTCTAGCTTTAGCTTAGTGCAGTCCTAACATATATCAAGCAAAGATAAGCTTTTTAGAGCACGAAAAAATAAAGTAAAATATATAAGACTAATGGAAATTTATGTTACGAAACTGATGGAATCCTTGGGTTTTCGGCTGAAATCCCTCGTTTGTTTTTCATTGAAATGACGAGAATAATGAGTTGAATCTCATCGAAAAAAGCCACAATCTATATAGATGGCTTTTGTTGAAGTACTTACGTTTTTTAGCATCTGATACTAATTCTGCAGCCCTCTTTTCGGCGGCTAAAAGTTGTTGAATTCCTTGTGAATGTGACGCCATCTTGAACCTTCCTTTGAGCTGATGATCACATGACGAAGGGACGAGGACTGAGGACCACAGGGAGCCCAATTAAGATTAGGGCAGACAGGCGAAAAATGAAATTCGGTAAAAAAATACTCTTCATTCAAATGAACGGGAAAATCAAGCACAAACTAACTACAATATTTTTTCGATTAATAAAATACTTTTAATCAGCCACAAATAAACTTTTTWAAAAAATTATTTCGAACGAACGCTATGAGAGGAAGACGGCGAAAAAGGAGTCAAAGGGACTGAAAACGGTATTTCATCTTGTTTTACATCCTATACGTGTGCAACTTTCCAAATTGGACCGTTGCAGACTCCATCTTTAGTCCTACTTCCCCAGCCGACCCGCTACGGCCCCCTTTCCCTCCTCTCCTTGACCGCCACGCTATACGACGTACAGCCTCGGACAGGCTATATTATCATCTGACGGAACCCGTTTTAGACAGGAGGCACATGGTATGAGCTATAGTATTATATGAATCCCGGTTTTTACTCAAATATCTCAATATGGCAATAACTACTGGCACACCCAGTAAAATAACCAACATACAGTAGTCCCCTTCACAGTTCCCTGCGCTATCTTGAAAGGTAGCCGTGCCTTTATTTTATTACGCATTGCTCCTAAACTTCCTAAACTCTGAACTTTGAGTGGTATTCCTGTGGACCTGTGATGGAGAAGGGAAAACAATCCACCTGAAAACTTTCAGTTTCAAAAAGTTACAAGCGCACGTCAGTTTATTTGAAGCCCGCGCGTTGATTGGCCCAGAGTCTGTGGGAAACCATTTGACAGCGCAGTACGAAGAACACGCGTTTCGCCGAAGACCAAAGACCCGTACGCCTCGAAAGGCTTCGTTTTGAAAAAACAGCGTCCAAGAATATTTATCAGTTTATTCGCCTAGCTTAACGCAGAAAATCATGGAAAGTTTGTTTCTTCACAGTATGTAAGTTCCAACACCGACGAAAAAGGTCAGTGTAAAGTAATTCTTATGACTCGTTGTTCTTGTTTGAATTCGTGTTCGACAAACTAGCTCAACAGTAAACGATTTAGTCTTTGCCACCTTTGTCACCTCTGCCAGTTTTCGTTTTTTTGATTTTCAGTTTTGTTATATAATAATAGAACGATAAAAAAGGTTCCTGGTGATGGTTAATTATAGATTAACTAAACTTCGAAAAGTGAAGAATTCTTCACATGAATTATCATTTGATTTTCAACAGTCTCCTAAACTTGCGTAAAAATCGGCTTGCATATAGCAAACTCAGTTATATCCTTTCTTTTATACTCGAAACGTCCTCTTGTTTAGCGGGACTGAACAAACCTTAATTAAAACTGAGTTCATCGTCCTTTTGTCGCATTCTTTAATATTTAGATCTTATTAACCGAGCGGGAGGTCTGTACTGGATAATCTTGACCGAGGTCAAGATTATCCCGTACAGACCGACCAAGCTCGGTTGATAAGAGTTTTATTATATGACCACTTTTCATTGAAAAGGAAAAAATAACGTTTTCGCCGTAAGATTAATATGCGACCGGACCGGTTAATACCGGAGAATCTAGACCAGTCCGCGATGCGATCTATCCAATCAGATTGCTCGATTTGCTAGTGTCCAGGCTCTAAGATTCACGGTCATATAATAACGTACATATATCGTTTTCTTTTTTATTTTCCCGACTTTTGGCGCCATTCGTTTTCAGCCGAGTTCTAGGCTGGATTTGAACAAGAGAGCACTTCATACATAAGTTTCTATCTGTATATTTTGTTTTCTCTCTGTTGAAAACAAAAAATAAAGCAATTATTGGCTGATCATGTGATATCTGCCGAAGTCGTAGGGCTGAGCTAGGTCATAGATAAAACAGCTACATGCAGCCAACGTCTTGATATTATGCGACATGCGAAAACCAAAAGCAAGAGAATATGAACTTCTATTAAAACTATTAAATAGGTAGCTTTTCGAACGTGTCGTTTTAAGGTTGAATTTCAACCGTTGTTAAATTTCTCTTTTTTTTTTCTTTCTTTCTTTCTTTCTTCCACAACAACAACAATGTCGCATGATATAATGAAACTTAATGATTTTAATCTTTAACTTTACGAATTTATCTTATTGATAGAAAAATATCATCGTAGTAAAAAAGAAATATCTCTCCAGTATATGCAGTCCAGCTATTGCTATATTTCAAAGTCTTGCTGCTACTCTTGCTGCTGTTCGTTCTCTATAATTATAATCGCGCGGATTGCTCTATTGTTCACCACRATGCTTTTAGTTGTCATTTGCTTTGAATGGGACATCAACAGTGGATTGAAGAAATGACCAACGTCTTTGCTTACCTTCAATATGCACTCTTGTTTTTATTCATTCATTTCTTCTTCTTCTTCTTTTTATTATTTTTTTATTTTTATTATTTTTATTTTTATTTTTATTTTTATTTATTTATTTATTTATTTATTTTATGGATCTTTTTTCGGTACTGTTGGCATAGTAATCAGTATAGGCTTCACCGACAAGCCTATGAGAAAACAAGCCTTGACGAGAAAACGCAACTTTTTACCTCTTTTTGCTATTTTTCACAGACTTTAAGGTTTATTTTACATACTTCTCCCTAACAAAGGAATATACTTTGCGCTACAAGTGCCGTATATGCACGTCTTACTGTTGTGGTAGCCGGCCTCGAGGCTCAAGCTTCCTGTTACAAAAGTTTGGCGGGAAACGATATGGGATCAAMATTTCCGTCACCGAAAAATATTCTCGTGACAAATGCAATTTCATAAATTCAGTAGTTTAAATTAATTCTTTAATTTTTAGCTTTAAAAAAATCACAAAATTTGTAGTTATTTACTAGTGTGTTGACTCTTTTACCTGTCAAAAATAAACGCTTTCACTGCGGGAGGTAAGTTAACAGGGAAACCTGTTGATTTGGACACGATATTTTGACAACCAAAGTAATTTTTTGTACTCCTTTTTTCAAAGAGATATTCATACCACTAGCTCATCATATCAGTTCATATATCTTATACTAACGTAAGTTCACGTATATCTAATAAGGTGTTGTGATTGGAATTGTGGATTTCGTGTTCGTGATTGGCTATTCAGAAGTGAGTGTTCTCAGTGCAAAAAACGGTGTTAAGGCTAGTTTGCGCATTCATATAACCAGAGTTAATACTCTGATATAACCTCTTCCTTTCTTTAAACTAGCTTGCTAAATGACGGATCATTACCGTATGAAACTGTAATGATACACCGTATACACCGTGAAAAGATGAAAAAACTTACTGACGTTTCGGACGCTAGTCCTTCGTCGGAGTACGAAGGACTAGCGTCCGAAACGTTGGTAAGTTTTTTCATCTTTTCACGGTGTGTAATTTACCTTTTTATCATTACTGTTTCATTAGAAACACCGACGCAGCTCAAACTAGTCTTTAGCTAGTTATCTCTTCTTTTCACTGTATAAAACTGTTGAAAGTCCTGTTTTACTATGTTTTTACACACCATGGTTTTCTTGTATTTCACTTTCTAAGTTTGCTCGTGTGCAACAAACAAGAGAACAGAGGTTACGTTACAAAATAGAAAATTAGAATGACACCCTAATAACACCAATTGTATTGATTTTTGCATTGTACCACTCAGGCGAGAGATTAGACCTTAAATGTTCTTAAACCAGTRTTCGAATCAAAATAGAGATAAGAAAACAAGGAAATACATGGACTCGGTGCCATTTGCTGGTACGAAAAGCATTACTTTCGTCCACCTTAATATTTACTGGTGCTTATAACGCCGGTGGCCAAATAAATGAGCACTTCTACGAGTGTTTTCGATTCCCTTGATTAACAAATCGACTATACCCCCTGGAGGGAATTGAAGTTTGGGGCAAATCGGCAAAATACGGTATATGAAAGAAAGAAAGAAAGAAAGAAAGAAAGAAAGAACACTTACCCCGAATCCAGCAAAACGGGCAGAAAGTACTTGGGCACACAAGAATTGTAATCACTTGCAATACGTTGGTTAACAAAACAAAATTTTCTTGAAATGTTTAAATTTTGTACAGCATATGATGAAGAGTAAAACTGTTCAGTTCATACACTAATAAGGCATGAAAACAGGTGCACCGTTTGAAAGAAAACTTCTCGTGGTAAAAAAGAATCACCTTTCAGACGTACTAAAAACAAAATCTTCATGTCATTAACTGGTGGCCATATTCTAGGGCGAGTCGGTCTTCCCATATGTCCAGCATGGAGACAGGTCCATTTAAACACAAAAAACCGCTTCTCTTCAAGGCCGTAGCAATGTACGGATCTAAAAGAGAGGGGAATCACTCACCACATCATCTTTCAACATGATATTGTCATGATATTGAACTATCAAAAAGTTACTACCTTATTAATTGAGGTGACATTCATTTTTGTCGACTCTGATCGATCTCCCACCAAGAAAATAATCATTCTCTTGATTTACCCGTTTCATCATCTATCAACATGATCGATTGACCATGTTATTTTCATGATATTTAATTATGATCACAAAAAAAGTTACAACCTTAATTATCTTAGGTGACATTCATTTTTTTTTTTTTTTTTTTTGACTCTGATCTCCCGCCAAAAAAAATAAAAGAATTTTAAAATTTAAAAAACATTCTTTTGATTACGTAAATTGCCTTGTTTACATACAAGGCTCGTAACTTACCTATCACGCATGTTCTTATATAATTTCCGAGCCCAACTCACACGGCTTTATACCACCTTATCTCTCATTCTTTTGATTGTGATATTAATTTTTGTAGTAGCAAAAAGAGTCCCAGCTTCAATATTCACGGTATGCATGTTCTTCGGTTGATTAAGAATTATTTCATATTTAATTGAAAATAAAAATAAATGAAGTTTGACCATAGTTTTTATAGTTAATGCAAACAATATATTTAAGTTTTTTGTTAAAAACATTGAACTTGTTTTGATGTTGACTTGAAACTGAATCATCTAATTTATTTTGATTGAATTTATCAGTTTTTTCGTACAATTAAAATATTGCCTTCATTCATTCTTGAAATATCGTTACCTCGATAAATTGATTTCAGTTTCGTTCCATCTAGCTATAATTATATTGTTTACGTTTTGGTTACGAATATAGCTAGCTTAATACTGATACTATTCCATTTATTCAAAAAGCTAAAAATACAAACTTTCTTTGCTCGCTTAAAATTATGCCTAATAATTCTGCATCATAAACCCAAAATGGGTAAAACCATTTTTCGCTCCATTTTTTGGCCATTTATACATTAGAAATCTCGCAAGTTAACCTTGGGAAATAATCGATGTTGTGTTTCCCACGGGTTGATATTGTATTTGCGGTATCTCTGATCTCAGTCGAGCTTATATGAACAATACAAAGGTAACTGGATTGTAGAAATTTGTTTTCCGCGTCCGTGCTTTTTCGTGTTCTTTCGCCCCTTCAACCGAGACTGTAGTGTTGTCAATCAAACGTCACCTATTTGTGGAACGTATCACGTTAGCATCAAAATTAAAAACTTTATAATTGAAWTGTTTCTACTAGAAAACTACAGAAAAACACAGCATATGGTATCTCTAAAACTACGCACGGAATTATAGTAGCCTCCATTTATTGCGACATGCCAAAACTTTGCGATATAAATCCGTCACTATAGTAACCCCAGCGCTCCAGTGCCCACAAGTTCCCCCACTAAGAAGAGCAAAGAAAACAACAGTTTAATAATTTCATATTTTATTTCAAAGTTGGCTCGTTTTAATTTATAATGTACAAAACTTTATAACAATATTTGTCCATGCTCAGGATCATACTTATAGTAATCGTAAAAATATATATTATCATTATTAATATCTCTATAATATCTGGGCAAACAACGGATTGTATTTCCCCCATTAATTCAACTACTAACGATGAACTCTGACGAGTTCAGAATTTGGTGCAAATTTTACAAATTAAACTGAATCAGGAATGTTTATAAATCTTTAACATAATGGCGGTTTCTTACTAAAGGAGAACGACAGCTTTCTAGTATAAATAACGGTTGTCTTCTGAAAGAATACTTCAATACAAATATTTTTGGAAATCAAGTTCACTACTTTTGACTAAATATCAACAGTTATGAAAGACCAAAGGTAGAGTGTTTTGTATGTGTGTTTAGCCCAAGGCCTTTATTGCCTCGTTTTGGTGTATGTTGACATTTCTAACTCCACATATCGTAAGGATTTTTGACTGGATTTCGAAATTCACGCACGTCGTTTGCGTTATCAAGCCCTTATCATTTCAGAGTTACATCTAGAAAAATTATTTTTAATGATTATACTGATTAATAGTAGCCGCCATTATGACAAAGGCCTATGGTTAATGGAACGCGTTGGAAGCGTACGACTATGTTGGCAGTACTTTTTCGCCTTTCTATTCTTTTTAGACTTTCATCTATATCGCACTATCAAAAATAGAAAGACCAAAATGGAATTTTGTGAGTAGGCTTCATACGCAAGGAATGTGTTACACAACAAATAAGGAATTACTATTTAACTCAATTATTTAGAAAAATGATGAACTGAGTGAAACCCAAATATAAAAACAAAACGATACAACAGCGGTGAACTTCAAGACCACTTCACTTGTTACAAAAGACAGTCTCCTCATCATCGTTTCAGTGAAGTGGMTTTTGTTCTCCGAAGAGCTTCGAATTCAATGGCTGGAAAAAACTGTGCAAACAAATAACTTAGCTAAAAACCTACTTTAGGAATTTATGTGAAACATTTCTAAACRAAATAATCTTATCTCCCTCTAATCTACTCAACCCAATGAATACTATTTTATAGACCTATGTTATTTCTGAAATTTTAAAATTTCAGCTTGTATTATCACAAGCATTTCGTTTCTTCTTATAGATTGCTGATGATTATTAATATGTACATTGGAAACTAAACCCTATTGGAACAAATTGTACTGGAAAAGCTACACTTCTTCCATGGGTAGGGGTCGCTCAGATAAACTAAATTTGGAAGAAATATAATTGAATTTAGGCTAAGAATGTTTTCTGTTTCAATTTTTAACGTTCAATATTAATAAACTATATAATTTTTGTCATCTTTATAGAAGAATTAAAGCTTTTCCAGTAACGTTTTTCCTACAAAGCTTAACATCTAATAAATACCCACCGACTTGATGACAAAAGCATGGACGATAAAAATGTTAAAGAAATAAAAAAAGCACGACTAATTGTTGTAAGCACTAGTGTAGTGTACTGTTAATACTTGGTATATAGATATGTGTGCTGGTCATGATGAAACCTTCAAACTAACTAAAAAGATCTTAGAAGATCATATTCTGTAAAAAGTAAGAAAAACTAAATGCTGCTAAAAAAAACAAAATCAGCTCTTATTGGTTATTATTGCAATCGCAGAGAAGATTTCGCATCAATAAGAAACTAATGAGACTTTCCTGAACCAAAACAGAACCCTTGACACGAAAGACTGTCCAATCAAATTGTTGGAGAATAAAACTAGTCTGAACAATCATAAATTTCTCACTCATACGAAATCTCAGTGCCATGAGCCGTAAAATAAAATATGATACGTATCAGTATAAAATGTAGTTGGTTATGTATCTATAATAGAATTTCTATTCCTGTATTAAAAATCAAGCTCCCTGTTTAGTAAAAAAAGCCCTAGTCTCTACTTAATCTCGATTTAAACCTGGCCAATATCACTTGCTTTCTGGCAATATATTTATATATAGTAATTCTAGTCTTTTTACATTACATATGTATATATATTTATAGATTATATTCAATATTATGCGACTCTCACCTACACTTTTTCAAGTGTATATCAAAATTGTTCCTTAACGTCTAGCACGATGACCAATCAGAATTCAAAGAATGCGGCGACGAAGACCACTCCTCGGGGGAGTCTGGTGATGGAGTTAAGTATGACACGGGAAGTTTTTGTGGCGAATCGTAGGATATCGAATAAGAGTGYACCGAAGGTGGCGTCGGGTAGTTTTCATTATAGAGTATGTTGTTGGGATGTTGCATATGATGATAAAGTTGATTATTGGTATACGAACTGCTGGAACTGTTTTTCCTTCTAGGCATCACGACGCCGTTAGTCATAGCACAGGCCTGGACTGTTCTGTGACCATTTGGAAATCCGTTCTGTACGCAGTGCGCAACCGAACTCATATCATCCATGTCCTGTACAATAGATATCTGTCGTGGTTCTGATTCTACCGTACAAGCCAGGTTAGGGCTGCTTTGAGCCGAATACAGTCTCGTTCCCGACGGATATTCGCGTCTTTGTTGCCTTTGCTGGGTCGGATAAAACATGCAGTCAGAGGTATTATTAATTGTTTCACCACCTATGGCGGTCACGGGAAGCATACACGACATCGATAATGAGTCGTGCAGGTTCGGAGATCCACTATCGACACCACACTCTGTACCGCCGAAGTTAGTTGAGAGCTCCGTTTCATTCAAATGGATATCGTCGAAATCCAATCCATTGAATTCTTCCAATCCATATTCATTGGCTAAAACATCATTAAAAGGAGAGTCTGAGAACACTGGTGGCGAGTTTGTATCTTGTGGTGGTGACAACGTCGTTGAATTGGATGGAGAAATCCCCGTTCCCGAACTCCCTTGAGGAGAAAATCCATTCATTACAGAGGACACACAATTAGGAGAAAACGTCGGTCCACTGCTACAAGGCGAGGGCTGTTTGACGTGTCCTTGTGGAGAGTAAGCTGCAGCACCATCGCTTGGTTTCCTGCTATTGCTATAGTTTTCAGCAACAGGCTCCTCATCCTTACGCGGCTGTCTTTTGCGTTTTCGTTTTGTCCCACCATTCGCAGTTGTTTTAGCCCTTGCACCACGAGCGTGATCGGAATTCGTTGAAGAAGCTTTTGCCCTTGTGGAAGAGGTAGTCACCGGGAAATGCGTGATGACTGATTTCCCGTTTTGCAGTTCAGTGCATGGTGGAGAAGCCGTGCCATTGTGCGGGGACTTTTGCTGATCTGGTGGAGAAGTGRGCGCAGGTGCTGCTTTGGGTGAATTACATCCTAGTGACCAATCCTTTAACAGCTGTACAATATCATGGTGCATCTTATGTCGAGCAATATGTTCTGGAGTTTTATCCATATTGTCAGCAATGTTTCGATTGGCGTAATTAAGCAGCAGTATTCTCACTGCCTCTAGGCTCCCCTCGCGAGCTCCAAGGAACAATGGCGTCTGACCCTATAACATAACATAACAACCGAGGTTAGTTATTCTAACGGGATTAAAACCGAAGCTTTGAATAAGTTTAAAACGAAGTCCCGCCCTTGGACAATAGCCTGCGTGCAGCCGAACGTAACAGTGGTTAAGTCCGTGTAGATAGATAGATACTTTATTAACGTGTCAAGAAAATAACTAGCTGAGGGAAAACCCTCTACTAATAGGGGACACCTAAGGTATAATGATAAAATCAAATCATAAGATATACAATGATATTAATTAAGACTAAAAATTAAYTCAATAAAGTACTAAAAAATTATTTTATAATTATAAAATACAAAATATAAATATTCTAATGTTTTGATAATAATGTAATAAAATCCTAATCAGCCTTTCAACTATTACATAAAAAACACCCTCTACATCCGAAAGCTTTGAAAGTATTAACCAGAGTTAAGTCGTGCCGTGTAAGCAGGCTATTGGATAATTAGTAATGGCAAATAAATATAAAGCTAAATCAAATCCGTTATAAAATMCAATCCAATATCCCCTTACTATAGCGCACTGAAAGACAGGCGTTTACTAGTCTTAGACACTACCAATATACTTAGAAGTAAGTAGCCACATGTCAAGAGTAAAACCACATATTTCCAGATACCAGACCAAGTCATGCTGACAGAAATCTGGAGACGAGAAAATAGTTTTCGCAGTACCAATCTGTGTTGAAGCCAGACCCAAATTTAAAGCCTTTGGACGTCATAGTTATGTTTTAGTTGTACTTAAAAAAGAATCAATATAGATAAAGATCTATCGTTAACATACCTTATCATCCTGGAGGTCTTTCTTTGCACCATTTTTGGCCAGTTCTGCCGTGACCTCGTGGCTATTTACCGCAGCAGCCCAATGCAGTGCAGATTTACCTAAAGAACGGAAACAGTGTTAAAACAGATTTTGAGGTAGGAAGCGTAACATAACGTGCTGTGCGGTATTCATGCATTGTGGTCMAACACGGGGAGGCCTTTTTCTGTCATGCTGATTTTTTTTTTCATGGTATCGTCCTGCTCAAATGAGTTTCACCGGAAAAATAAAAACCGAAGCAAATCAAAATAATGTTCTATTGTCATTTCAAATTTATAACGTGGAAATGAAATTCAATTCCGTCGTACGAAGTTCGCATTTAATAGCCTAAAATCTACTTCATCATACTGGAGCCGTTCTCTAAAGTTGGCTGACGACCTTGAATTCATAATCCGACAAGGTTAATGGGATTGACTCTAGGCTTATAGAAAGCATTGTTACACAGCCCTTGAGAGACGTTTATCGACGACATACAATATTAACCTTGCCAACTTTCGCGTTAAATTCGATTGCCAAGCTTTATGGCTTGGTTAACCCCGCGTAAATTACGGGAAACGTAAGGATCGTGCAGGATCTCTTGGGTGGTTCACACTTTATAGAATGCTTTCTTGTACAGTTTTGGGAACATATGGCAAATTTAAACTAAAAGTGCTGGCATAAATATGACGGAAACACTTTCTACTGTTTCCGTGTATTTACGATTTGTAACTTTTTGGAAATTTTAGACTATAAGGCGTCGAAAAAAACTCCTAAAAATTCTGTATTCTGGCTATTATTGACATAAAGCGAGTTGTAGTATATGTTATTCTGCCCTGGACATAATTTGAGGAGTTTGCGTGTTAATTTGTTCATTCTTCATTCGATACTTACCTTGGTTATCTATGTTGTTGACTTTGGCGCCTGCCTTGATTAAATCTTTCACTATGTCTACCAAATCGAAACGAGCCGCAAGGATAAGAGGTGTTGTGCCATCATCCATGCGCGCCTCAAGATCGGTTGCTCTGTTCCTTAGGAGAATCTGTTACGAAAAAACAAAAACAAAGGTTATTTGGGCACCGATATACTGTTTTTTGTTGTTGTTGTTGTTGTTGTTGTTGTTGTTACAGAGTCAAAATGTTTGAAAATGTTTTTTTACCTGGAAGACGCCCTGAGCGTCGGATCCTACAGCCAAATGTAAAGGCGTTCTTCCAAGCCGATCCCTCGAATTAGGATCAGCTCCAGCATCGAGCAGGCGTTTTGCCGCATCAGCCCTTGAATGCCTTGCAGCCAAATGAAGGGGTGTTTCTTGGGATTCATCTGTCTTAGCCCCATAACTTGCACCCATAGACAGTAAGTCGGACACCATGACACCTCCACTGTCATCACTATCCTTGTCATCGTCTATACAACCATCCAAGAACGTCCCTCTACAGGACGCTAGATGTAGTGCCGTAAATCCACCAGGGCCTCTAGCATCCACGTCCTGAACCTCGGCTCCTCTTTCACACTTCTGTGGCGGCATTAATGAAGAACAATTCCTAACATTCACGTCAGCAGCTTCTCGATGCAGCCTTGTCCACTTCCGCGTGTCTTTCTCAACAGACCCGCCCCTTTTTAGTTCATCTTCATCATCTAGTTTGACACGCTTGGGATCCCGAGCTTCGCTGGGTGGAGTCAAGTCTGAACGAGATAACGCACTGCCTCCAGCCGCGCCCTCTTCTTCCAAGTCGGTAGTACTTTTGTTCATTGACCTTTCAATTAAACAAAATTAAATTAAATTTTGAAGCACATCAAAGTCATTCATTACTCCAGATACTATACAGAGCATTTAAGATTTGAGGCAAACTGAGAAGTTGATTCGTTTTCCAACCTCTCTTATTTCGTTAGGTTATTTTGCCTAATATTCCCAAGTGTTTAAATTAAAATTAAGCATTTTAAAGTAAAAAATGATATGAATAGCCAATCACCTGTCTTTTAATTTCTTAAAACGATACCTTATTCAAAGTGCTCGAATGTATGATATATCTTTGAACTATTTGAAAACAAACACGTGTTTCTAAAGTAGAAGGAATTTGTACGACTCCTATTTCGACGTATTTTTCACTCATTACTTGACCAACAAAASAAAAACGTTCATACCTCATAGACACCTCCTGACCAACAGGATCTCGTCGTTGTGATCTTCGTTGGTGGATAAGACGTCGAGGGAAGCCTTCAGGTAACCAAAGTTTGGTGTACATCCTCTTACCGCCAGCCAGAACCCCAACGATAAACAGTGGAATCCCAACACAAAGGATCGCGATCCATAATGGACTCGGCTCAAAACCCGGTTTCGGTGAAACGGTTGGCTTTTCTTGACCTTAAAGAGGAATCCAAAACTCCATCAAAACATTTCGTGAGCAAAAACAAACGTTTCAATGTGTTTGCGCTTGCGGAAATGGGAACGTTAAAATTAGGGAAAATGGTAGAGAAGGCTATTAGGAATTTCCTTAGAAAATTCGACGATCTACTTACTGTCTACTGCATATACGGGATACGGCAAATCCAGTTTGTTGTTAGAAGCCTTCGCGCCGAGAAATCTTGCAGCCTGTAAAATAAAAACGTGGTCAGAAACAGAGTTTGACAGTTACCAAAGGAAATACACTCGAGCAAACGTAGTGTTTAGTCAGCAATAAGAAGAAAAGAAGATCAACCAAGAATTGGAAGAGGAAAATATAAGCAACAGGAAAAAATATGCAAARGTATTTTTTAAATCTTTAAACAAACATTGGAAACGTGAATGAAACACTGAAAGAATGAAATAAAACTTACATTGCCAACGTCTTGAAAGCAATCACTCTCACAACCTCTGTTATCCAGTGTTACGTGAACTTCGGCACTTCAGAAAAGAAAAATACAAAATCGTTAGAGTTTATTTCTACATAAATAAATACATTTTCAGCGTTATGCTTACCCGTTCTTTTCACTACTAGCACGCCTRTTGCGACTGCTTCTGACATACTCTGCACTTTCTGCTGATCTTCTTTTTCGACCTATTGGCACTGGGGCTGAAGGCGGAAGTGGATAGGGTAACACTATTGGCCTGTCGTCTTTGTCCTTTTTGATGAAGGCAATAGYACCCAGAACTCTAGACAGCTCTCGCATGAACTCCCGAGACCCTTTCATAAAGGTTTCAGGCGTCACCAAGAGAACTAAGACCAGAGTGCCTTTTGCAGGTTTTGGAACTTGAATGTTGCAGTCAAGACCGTCCTCTAGACATCCTTTGTTGTTGCATTCCTTGTCGCATCTCGTGTCCGCGAAACGAGCGGCACAGTACTTGTTACGAGGGCAAGATGGCGTTGGCTTCTTGCAGTCAAAACCATCAAGCAGGCAGGTGCCTGTGTTACATTCTTGGTTGCATACACCGTTTTCGAAAACCTCGTAGCASGGCCGACCAGAGTTCGTAACAGCTGTACAGTTAGACCAAGGCTCAATGCCTAGAGAACATGTGGTGCCATCCCAGTTGCATTCATAATTGTTGCATTTTGCCTGAAAACAAAGGAATACGTRTTATCGTAAGAGCCAAAAAAGACTTTGAAAAAGAGAGGAATYATTTAATAGAATACTTACGACACATTTTCCGCCGTCAAACTTTTTGGCGCAGTCGCTGTAGGGGCACGAATCCTTCACCAGAACTTCACAATTCTTTCCAATCAATTTTTCTGGACAGTCACATTTGTAGCTACCCACTAAATCTCTACAGCTACCACCATTTCTACACGGATTGCTCGCGCACTCATTTATAATCTGCTGACAATTATTCCCAGTGAAACCTTCTGGACAGTTACAGGTATAACTATCATAGCCATCCACACATGTTCCTCCATTCTTACAAGGATCGGATAAACAGTCATCTTTATTCCATTCGCACTGTTGCCCATACACTCCTTGTTTACAGTCACATTCGTAACTTCCTTCCACACTACGACAAGTGCCACCATTTTCACAAGGTGTGTCATTGCAGGAATATACTTGACGCTCACAATTGTTTCCAGAATATCCCTTTTTGCAAAGACAGGTGTACTTCCCTGCGCCGTCCTTACATGTACCTCCGTTTTGACAAGGGAAAGATAGGCACTCGTTGATATTGAGTTCGCAGTTCTTGCCAAGGAATCCACGTTTGCACYGACAGTGATAATTATCAACAAGATTAAAGCACGTTTCCGTCCCCAGTCCTGAACAAGGGTTTGATGCACACTCATCAACGTTGATTTCACATCTGGAACCTGTAAATCCAGAGGGACAGGAGCATTGATAGCTTGCTATTCCATCTCTGCAGGTACCACCATTAAAACAAGCATTAAGAAAACAATCGTTTGGATTAATCTCGCATCGAGAGCCAACATAACCTTTGGGRCATGAACAAAGAAAGTCATCAATGAGATCTATACATGTGCCTCGTGCACAGGGGTTGTTTGCGCACTCGTTGATATTAATGTCACAATTTCGTCCTTTAAATCCATTTCTGCATGTGCAGGTATAATTTGCAATTCCATCATAGCATGTTGCTCCATATTTACAAGGTCCACTTGCACAATCATTAATGTTTGTCTCGCAATAGCTTCCAGTATACCCAGGCTTGCACTTGCATGACTGAATACCTTTAGAATTGTCAACACAGGTGCCTTGGTTAAGGCAAATGGCACCTTTACTCTGAGCTAAAGCACAAGAGATGTTCATCACGTCACAAATTGTGCCATTGTATCCATCAGGGCAGGCACAATAAAAATCAGATAAGTCCCTTCCAGTTCTTTTACATGTTCCACTATTGCGGCAAGGATTGATTAGGCATCTGTTTAAAGGCTGCTGACATTTTGTGCCAGTGTAACCTGGAGGACAGTAGCAGCTGTAGGAGCCAATCTTGTCAACGCATGTCCCTCCATGTGTACATGGATTCGAGCTACACTCATTGATGTGAATTTCACATCTTTCGCCTGTAAAGCCTTTAGGACAGCTGCATGTGTACTGGTTTATGCCATCTATACAGGTCCCACCTTGAACACAGGGGCTGAAAATACAAGTAGAAAAAGAAAAGTAAAAAATAAATGAGCACAATGGATAACAAACAACAACAAGCATTTGTACTAACCTTGACTGACAGTCATTGATATTGATATGACAACGGTCTCCAGTGAATCCAGGGTTACAGCGACATGTATAGCCATTGATACCATCAACACAAGTTCCAGAGACACATGGACGAGCCTGACATTCATTGACATCTTCTTCACAATATTTCCCTGAATATCCAGGTTTGCAATTACATGTGTAAGTATAGGGAGAATTACTTGAGCATGTGGCACTGTTACGGCAAGTGTGACCCAAGCAACTGTCAATTACTGTTTCACAGTCCCTTCCTAAAAAAAAGTAAAGCATTTTAAAATATTTTAAATTTTTATTCCTTAGGCCAAGAAATAGTACTCCAAATGTTTCAAGAGAATTCACACACCTGTATAGCCATTGCGACATTGGCACATGTATTGAGCTACTCCATCGATGCATCTTCCTCCATTGCGGCAGGGCGATGTTGCACATTCATCAATCTCAACACCACAATTAGATGATGTGAAACCAGGATGACATTTACAAGAGTAGTTGTTCATTCCATCAATACATACACCCCCATTTAGGCATGCACCTACTGGACAATCATTTGGATCATTCTCACAATGATCACCTGAAAACAGATTGTAAATAGATTTTGAGAAGCAGCTTTTGTTAAAGGGATAACCAAGATGCTTCATTTAGACTGATATTTGATGGACTACAAGAATCTGGTAAAACTTCTTAATCATTCATCTCCAGTGATCCCAATRACTGAGAAGACTTACCAGAAGCTCCTGGTGGGCAGATACAAAGGTATCCATTGACCACATTCCTGCATACTCCACCATTCTGACAAGGTGAGCTATGGCATTCATCAATTTCAAGTTCACAATTAGTTCCAGTGTATCCACCACGGCAATTGCAAGTATAGCCATTTATACCATCCACACATGTTCCCATATTTTGACATGGGGATGTAGCACATTCATTAATGTTTGTTTGACAGTTTGTGTCTGTAAAGCCGAGAGGGCAAGTACAAGAGTATTTTCCCACAAGATCATTGCATGTTGCACCATTGCGGCAGGGAGACGAAGCACAGTCATCAATATCAATCTCACAATGTGTACCTTCATAACCATACAAGCAGGTACAACTGTATTCCCCAAGTTTATCATGGCATTGTCCTCCATTTTGACAGGGCATGCTGTCACACTCATTGATTTCTACTTCACAGAGTTTACCAGTCCATCCGTTGAAGCAGACACACTCAAATTGGTTGTAGTAATCAAGACAATTTCCATTTTGACATGGATTCGACTCACATTCATTTATGTTTGTCTCACAACGGGATCCTAAAACAAACCAAAATACCATGTCTTACAAAGTGATGCTAATTTCAATGATCAAAAACTGAGGAATCATGAAAATGAGAATAGTAACAAGATAAAATATTGTTTAAAAATGCAGTTTCTTACTGCACAGCACCCAGAAGTATGACCACTGATAATGTATTTGCATACTTTTATCTTGGCTTTCACCCCATCGGCATTGCAGGATTGTCTTAACTTATTTCTGGTCTAAATGCTAATTGGAGGATGGCATGAGAAAAGTATGTGAATACATCACATTTGGTCAGAATTTTGAGATTTGCACTGTAATTTGCAATATGCAGTAGAATTTGCAAAATATGAAGTGATAACATTAAGTGGTAATCAAGATGTGTAGATGTTTTCATAAACTTACCAGTAAATCCAGGCACACAATCACAGACAAAGGACCCTGGGACATCTCGGCATGTCCCCCCATGATAACAGGGTGACTGGGCTACATTACAATCTGGAATATCCACGTCACAGTTGGGGCCTGTCCATCCATGGGAACAAAGACAATTGGCCTTTCCAAAAGGTGATGGAACACAAGTTGCACTGCCATTACATGGATTAGATGCACATTCATTATCAAATTGGCAAATAAGACCTGTGAAATAATCAAGCAGAAGGGTTAGAATTCTGAGAATTTAGGGTCAATAATGCAACCTAATATATCCGCTAACCAGACTTGCTACATCACATACAATGGACTCAATATATACACTGCATTCATACCTGCTTTGTTGGGTGGACAATTGCATCTATAAGATCCAACTCGATCCACACATGTACCTCCATTCAGGCATTTTGGGTTATTAGGAGTTTCAAGACAGTCATTCACATTGATGGAGCAATCTGCACCTTCCCATCCAGTTATACATCGACAAATATATCCTCCATCAACATTTGTACAAGTTGCACCATTTTTACATGGGTTGGATAATGTTGAGCATTCATCAACATCAACTTCGCAGCGTTTTCCAGTAAAGTTGGGTGGACAGCTGCAACAGCAATATTACAGCATTTTTATCAGCACCAAAGAATATAGCATTTTATAGATTAGTAGTGACCCCTGGTCTGTAATCAATATAACAATAGAGGTATGAATTTGACTCTGACTGAAGCAGGTCCTCTTATAGCGTGAGAGAGAAACTTGTTGACAAACCACACTTCATAAATATAATTTTCATGTCGTAAAATGATTAAAAATATATAACATTGTGACAATCTATGAGGCCAATCTAGGTCTTTAAATAGCATAAAACACATGATAGTGCATTAAGATGCACTATATAAACTACAGATTTGTCATTTAGAGTCGAATGAAATCTAGATTTAATGTGAGATAAGAAATTCTGTTATGGGTTATAGTCTGTGTTTAGACAATTATTTAACAAAACACCAAGGTCAATGGTACATGCATATTAATTTTTAAACATGTATACACAAATCCTGTTTACCACCTAAATTTCATTAAATTACCACATTAGAAAATCTTACTTATAWAAAAGCTGAACTACTGCCAAAATAACTGATAACCATCCCTTAGTATTTGACAAGCACAATGATTTTTAATTTCCTTGGGCATGAAATAACCAACATTTTCTATAAGTACATTATTACATATGTATAGTTTATAYGTAGGCAAAATACAGAGCATCTAAAACAACAACAGATGCTCAAATTTAATACACATCACATCCCACATTCTTAACTCAAAGCTTAATGAAACATTCAAATTAAGTGTTCCACACAAGGAGTTTTTTAGTCTGTTTAGGAGTATTCCAATAGCCAAACAACAGAAACGTTTGTGGCTTGGAGTATCAATTGTCCTGGTTGACAAGAAAATCATTCATCCTTGAAAAGCCATGAGCCACTGACAGTCTAACTTGAGTGTGTTCTGATAAATGAGCCATAAAACCTAGTCTACTGAGTGATTACTTGCTGTGGTATTCTATTGCTGTCTTTGTGARACAACAAAGACTTTAAATTCTTGAAAATGCTGATAACTAAAAAACAATAAATGCATAATTTCCTAATTCTCAAATCGCTGACCCTACAAAGTGTTCCTAAAACTCCCTGTTATGAAGCTAATACTGTAAGCGATTTATAAACTTAAGCACATTAGTCATGTTTCAGTCTGCTTGCCCCCTACGGCCTGGGATGCTAAAAAACGCACATTAAATTATTACGCAAAYGAAAAAGTCAAGTCAAATAACTAAAATTTGATTGTGTTCATTCATATTTCACTTGAATAAAAATTTCAAATGAGTAATTTTTTCAATTGTTTTGTTTTTCCTAAGATTTTTTTTAGTGATTTTAAAAGTCATTAATTAACTTGGTTTTTCATAATGATAGCTTGGAAGTCATAAAACCAGTTTCAAAAACGAAGCTAATGTGTTTATCACTATAGCATAAAATTTGATCCCAACCAGCCCAGTTAGAAAAACATTTTTATTAACTATTAATATTGGGCAGCCAAAACAATAGTTAAGGAAACTTTGCAAAGATTTGACATTTGTTACGGCAGCATTCCTATTAAATGAGTTAACAAAAGAACACAGATTCGTATTCAGTAATTCATGCAATCAGGAGAGATGTTTTTACTAGGGCTATGAATTCCACCTTAGGGGACCCAAGAATCAACAAGGCAAATTGTCTTAGCATTATCTAAACTCTTCTCAGACTTATAATTAAGAGTGAATATAGTGGAATCCCAGCAAATTTGGACAAGGAGGGCAATATTAGATACAAGCAGCTGTTGTCGTAGTCTTGCACATGGTTGAGTCAAAAAACAATTGTCGTAAGACACAATAACAAAGATAATGCAATTTGTTAGTTCAAATACTTGGTCGGCCCTAAAAGAAAATATCGCTTGCATTTTGTCCCTATTTTGTATCTTAGAAGAAATCCTAGAGGTTTAGTGGAAAAGTAGCAAAGTTTGTCTCGGTTTTTGAGGTATTTCATTGTGTATCAGAGGATTAGTGACAGAAATTTATGCATGTTTGGAGTATAGAGCGAGCCCGAAGTGTCACACTCGCAACTGGTCGGAACAATGAGCAAACAATACGAGAATTAGACAAATCTACCGCACGTTGCACAATGATTAAGGGACCTCGTACATTTGGCCTTTAGATCTCAATGCCTTTGAGAAAAAGCCTTTAAGGTCACCAATAAGGCAACCGGTATTAAAAAGAGTCCGAAACTACCCTCTTTGCCGACGGACTGACGTTTTGAAGTCAATATTTCGGCGTTGGAAACAAAATTAGCAAACACAAAAAGGCACACTCTGGACTGCTCAAGCCTCGTGCCTCTTTTCCCGAAAATTTGCCTTTAGTATTAAGGCTTTCATTTCTTAGTACGTATAAACTTTCTTCATGAAGAGCAAGACGTTGAAAGCGGTACTTTATTACCGAAGGTATCAAACGGCATCACACTGGAGTCAATTAGAACACAACCCTAGAGCGAGTTAGAACAAACAACGTAAAAATACTTATTGTGGAATCAAAAAAATTTGACTTTGGTAAACAGACGTTTTTCAGTAATTAGTCTCTGTAGAAAACCTAGCTAAAACAATCACCAAGAGGGCGAAACTACGAGAGATGAAAACACGGCCACGAAATTAAACTTCATAATAGGACATTACCGAGTACAGAGCGCGCGCTTTTTTTCTTACTAAAACTTTAGCGTATGTCAATAATTCTCGTTGAAAGGATGTTTTTAAACTACAAATAGAGGTATGAATAAAAGAGGCATCAATCAAGCAGGCTGTGTATCAAAAACACTTGCAGTTAGCCACAACAGATAACTGTTTATCCGTAACTTGGAAGAAAGAATTTGTAAGGACAGATAAAAAACAGGCTTCCTTCGATCGACCAACTAGATTCGTGCTTTTCTTCACTCCTCTCACTATTGTTTTGAGCATTTTATTCCATTATTCTAGCGTGTAATATTATTCAATGTATGGCACTTCGAATTTCTTTATTCTAAAGAAACTCAGCTTAGTGTTAATCCTAGATTCAGTTTACAAATATAGTCCTAGATGTTTCGGCTGGCTTCGCACGACAACTTGTCATCACCATAAAAACAGGCCAGAAAATTGTAATTTACTGGATTCCGAGGCGTTTATTAGCTGAAAATTAGGAGTACCTTGTAGTAAACGTCTAGAAAAGGATAAATAATTATCTCTTAAGGAATAAAGAGATATAAAGTACAACCAAGGTCGATGAAAATTTCTACTAGGCGGATTTTCAATGATCATCGAGTCTTTTTGGACACGAACCACTTTGAGTCATTTTACGCGAACATTTCAACGCTTGCAACTCATAATTAGGTGTTTTTGGTATTTTTATTCTCAATTATAACACATTGCGAGTCTGTCAATGGAACGAAAACAATTCGCAGGAGGTTTAGTTAATTATTTATGTGTTGTTTAACAACCTTGATACCATGGACTTTTGAAGACCTTAGCAAAACACGTAAACCTAGGTTACCATAGATTTCCGGTAGACATCAGTAATCTTGTAGGTTTATTTATCTTTCAAAGACAATTCGATATGAGCTTTTATTAGCGGCCTCAGACAATCAGTATTTTCCATAAATAGGTAACAATATACCTCCATGAACTCAAAGAAACATTAGAATTTTAATGGACTCAACCTTCAAGTATATAACAGGACGTTGAAGTGCGGTTTTGATGGGTACATTAAATTTTTATGCCAGTTTCGGGCTATACGTCGATTTTACTACACTTGTAAACGTTCAATAATTAATGACTGAATTATAGAGAAAGAGGTATGTACGGATCAACATTAGAAAGTACTTTACCACTGCTGTACATACACTATACTAAATCTGACATTACAACAAGCAATCTGAAATATCGAAAAAAGCCTCTGATTATTAACTTAGATAAGAAATAAAAGATTTAATAAGAGGCCACACTTTGTTAAATAGCGTTAAACTGTCAAAGAAACTTTAACCAGCACCGTTTACTTCACGTGCATTTGGTTTACATAATTTGTATTCCTTCATAAACGTAAATTAAAGCATTTTAATGTGATATATATATTTGATTCTAACCTGCAATGTACTGATCCATTGACGATCGAGCAGGAGCCACCATTTTGACACCATCCGGTTGAACATTTGGAGGCTGCGAGAAAGAAAACATCAATTAATTTAAAAATCACGTTTGGAGAACAAGGTGAACTCAATTTACACAATAATAATGTGTTACATTATGGCCGAATATTCCAATAAGCCCTTTCAGCTGTTAGTGAAAGTCTACGAAGTTATCTTAATAAAACTTTGTTTATCCGTTATTTGATCACGTCTTGTCGTCCAAGGGGATACATTTTGGAGCATATTTATAGAGATATTTTCAAGAGATAATATCCCTCCTCATGATGTGCGAATTCATAACTGCTTTCACGCGCAGCGTGAGAATTCTATGAACCGTACGAAGATCCAAATACTTCTATCGATTTTCATTAAAATGCATCCAAATCACAGAAACTGCATTCAATACAACTTTTCTATCCTCGCTGTCTTGTAAAGACTCCCATAATCCGATACACTTAAAGAATTTCGTCTGATTCATGAGAAGAGGAAGGTTCTGTGTCCCTTGCTTGTACTAAAACGGCCTCGGTATGTCGGCGGCGCTCAACCAATATGCCTATCGCTGGCACCCTAAAACCATGACCAGTGTTGTTTACAGGCCTTAATATGTTCCTCAATCTAGAGAGTCGTGTCCTTGTAGTAGTTTGAGCGATTCGAGGTAGAACCCTTTCGGACATGTGAGTGTCTTTTGGCGGTTGAACGTCAGCACGCACATTTAAGATACTCATACAACTTACCACCTAACGAAGCACCGACTATAGGAATTAAAAGAGCGAAGGCGATCGTAAAGTGAAAGCCCTTCATTCTTCTAAACTCTTGTCCAGTGAACTCTCAAAAACTCCGTTTAAATTTCATCGGTCGATTCATGAATGCGGACAACGTTAGTACGATATTCTCTCACTGTCAAACGACCAAGCGATATAGAATTTCACTGATTAGCTAATTTGCATGTGTTAAGGAAATCGAGGGGTACTAACACTATTGTGGGGGCCCCAAGTTCATCATTACTTGGCCAACCGCGTCGGCCATTCTTTGTTTAATGGAATCCGACCAATCAGAGCGCAGCGCATGAGTGATGCTGACGGGTTGATGACAACAAGTTGTGATGATTGTGACATTGACGAGAGACCTTTTTTATATAGACCCCTTGTTCAAATGGTGCTTCAATGCATCCTAATTTTTTTTGCTAAACAACCAAAGTCACTTAAAACTCGGGACCGAAAGCGTGCATTCAAAGAAGACTATTCCTAAAACTACCCCTAGAATGCTGAGACAAAACAAGGTTGCTTTCTCACCGATATTGGCTTACACTCTTAGGTTATTGACGAGGGAAGGAGTGGCTACACGCAGCGACTCTCCTGATTTCCTTCTTTTCTCCAGTTTCAAAGAAACAGCAAATGTACTTGTATACAGTGCGCTAGTCTAAGCACCTGACAAGCCTTTTATATTGTGCAGAATATCATAGCAAGCGTTAGTGAGCTAGCTGTTCATTTGAGGTCAACGCAACCAAAAGTAAACTCAAACAGCTTCCATTCTTTCTTAGTGGCTTCAGTGTTAGCTTTCTGATCATTTGTTGAGAATACGCTCAATAGTTTTGTTACCATAACTACGGATTCGAGTCAAACCTGAACGACTTCTTTTCCCACGACCCTGCATAGTTTAACGCCAAAGGCATCAACAAAACGTAGCTAATCGTGCCCCAAATCCACTATATCCACTCCAACGCTTCACTTAATAATCTGACAGTAGACGAACATCGATATCTATGTAATGTTTGTCTTACACAAACACCAGCGGAGCTACGTTGTTACTACTTTGGCAATTTGTGGATAAAAAACACAAAAACAACTTTGTTTGAACGCCCTTTGACCCGCCACCATCCAGCAAGTTATTAAAGGACTGCAAGGTGAAAGGGTTTTATAACAAGGAAATTCTCAACTATGTTTAAAAAAATAGTAAGAAAAAATAAATAAAAAATAAAAAAATAAAGAAATTAAAATCAACATGATAATTGTTTTGCAAGGGATAATTTATAAAACCTTTACAACTATTCTTCTGAGACCAACCTACTCGGATAATTTGGATCTAAATATACCGATATGAAATGCTCTTTTACTCCGACGAAGGCGTCCGAAACGTCAGTAAGTTTTTTCATCTTTTCACGGTGTAAAATTTACCCTTTTATCATTACTGTTTCATTAGAAACACCGACGCAGCTCACACTAGCTTTTAGCTAGTTATCTCTTCTGATAAAATGAACACTTTAATTCATGGCCGAAGGTGACGGAAACACTGAAGTCATGTTTGAAACAAAACCTTTGTAAGTAGGTCTAGTTTAATCAAAAAGGGACTTTAGTTTGTCAATTATAGGCTTCTACAAAGCTTAGAACAGAGGTATTATTGAAGAAGCTCCAAAAGTGCACAGCGACTAAGATCTTTTCTTTCTTCTATTCTATTCTTTCCTTTTGCCGAAATGAACAATTTGGCCCACGTGTTCCTCGAGCCAGGCGTTCTGCGCGCCCAAACAAAGACCACAACGTCTTTTGGTACCCATAAATATAAATTCTGATTATTAACTTGAGCAACCTTTAATCAACGTGGTCAAGACAATGTGCGAAGCAGTTGGGAGCTAACACTAGTGTTTGTTAAGAATGGCTTTCATCTTACTGGTATATAATGTACCATAGATGTACCATATATACAAATATGTTTTATACAGGGTTATTGTTAGCAAGCCAATGATTGTTATAGACGAGCGTAAAAGAAGCCGGAAACTGAAGTAACTCAGTATTTTTTTGAATAAAAATACTCTTGCAACCTAATGAGTCATAGATTAGTTTAGATGTAACGAAAACAATCTCAAAACGAAAAAAGAAAAAAAAAGTGGTGATTTTGTTCCGTCTCTGCGTTCTCGGTCATCAAGTATTAGCCTCACTGAAAAATTACTCAGTATTGTATTGTAAAACAATCAAGCCATAATCTCTTATGATAAATCGCTATCTTCTATTTCTGGTATTTCTATTTTATAAAATGAAATGGCTAAAGTTATATCGTAGTTGTTTTAACAGCATGGATGGAACTGGAAGCTGGGGGGTGTGTTATTGGAGGGATGTTTTGTAGAAAGCGGGCGAGGTTAATTTTACTTTCCTGAAATCCCTCAAATTTACTGAAGAATAAGATCAATAACTATGAGCTAAAAATATATGTCATTATCTGATAACACTTGAATTCTGATTGCAAGTTATCGTTCTTTAACTTAAGGACACATGCTGAAACCTTTTATCGGGAAAACATCAAAATTGCAAGGATTAAACGAGAACTTGAGCTTTTTTTGCTGTCATTTGATTTGATAAAGAAACTTTTAAGTGGATACCAGAAATGATTGATAAGAAAAAATACAGTTCCTAAGATGCACCATTTTGTAAACAATCGCGGATTTAAGTAATAGTTAGTAATGATTGAAGGCTAGATAATACTTCGGGATTCCAGAAAATACTACACTTTCCACTGACTCCGCTTAAGGAGAATACAAAAGCCTTTTGTGGTCATTTGAAGGGATTACCGCTTCTATTTCAAGGTCTTATTTTCGATACCTTTCGATTTCCTCTTTGGCAGACTTTGTTCAGATACTAAATCAATAAAGGGCTTCGCCTGCTTCCCTGTTGTTTAACTTCTTTTGTTCGAGGTTGTTTTGCAGTAGGAACAGACGTCATGTAATCAGTCATGTGGATGGATAACACGTGCACAAAGAATGCAAGCTTTGCATACATTGCACGGTGACATTATTATACTCCTTGACCACTGATTCGGTCATTTTCGCTGAAACTCAGTCACACATGTGTCCTCGTTATAAAAAACGAGGCAAAATTACACCGCTAGAATATTGGACATCAAAAACTGAATACTTCAGCCAAACTTAGAAAATCGAGACTTAATGTGATTTCATTTTGACAGATGGAATGATTAATGTAAACTTGAAACTTCTTGCTTACTACGAATCGCAATAACCTTTTACGACTCTTTTACACGAATAACACTACTAATTACAATGCCCCAGTATATTCTATTGAAAAAGATTTTTAAATATCGATGGTATCTAGAACTAAAGTTGAAGCAAAATATTTTTTAAAGCAAATATCAAAGTGCGAGTAGATTAAGTAGCAGTATGTAAAGCCGCTCTCAAAAATCACCAGGCGTGACTCATGACTCGAAAAGATGTAATCATGACACACGCATCACCTCTGACTTCTCTTTCATGTCTCATCTGGAAAAAATTAGATTCTTCTTCTCATTAATTAATTGAATAATTCGTACAATTACAGTCTTTATTTCGCCTAGCCCGGAAGGGATTTTCGGTGTAAACTCAAAATGGGTTTCACACAAACATTATCGGTGAAGAGCAATATTATGAAATGGGGACATAAAATTWAAAAAAAAAATTAAAAAACTAAAAAATTCAATAAATAAATGTCTTTTTTATAACAAGTAATGAAATTCAACAACTGAGTTGTAAGCTTTCGAATATCATAAGTAACAGGTCCCCTCATACAGAGGACGGGATTTGACAGTAACAAAAGCGACACGTGACAAGAATTACTCAAGCTATTGGCTATTTTGTACCTTGTGTTACAAGCAATTGTCAAAAAAAAAAAAAAAAAACCATTAAGAATGATATGCCAAATGGCTAAAACTGAGCGACTGAGAATGACAATTGGCTTGCAAAAGGGCACGTTTTAGAGGAAGTTTTGATGAATGGGGCTCCTGGCATGACAACTGGTCCCAACACTTGGGCCAGCATTTGGTCGGTGGGATCGAGTATAATGCTTCAAGGTGATCAGCCAAGAAATACTTTTACGTGGGATTATGTTACAGAGCTACTTGGTTGCCTATGCGTATTTGGTTTCACGCACCAGGTTCATGTGAGGAAGTTGAATATTCTAGCGTCAATGCAAGTGCGATGGGCTGATCCTCAGCTGTACAGGTGAAGATGGGAAAACTACGAACACTTCTTTGCTAGAAAAGAGCAATGGTCCGAGGAGTCGCCAGGACAGCAATTCCAATGACAGCCAAACCATACTCAAGAATCAAAACATGTGAGTAGTTGCTATGATTTTATCCCCATTTTTTCTTATCAAGTTATTTACAATTTTTATGCTTGAAAATGAACACAAGCGATTAATGAGTGCGGTTTGGCAATGCGGTGTTCGTTTAGGACCCCGACATGGCTGTAACCAGTTGCTTTTATTCTTGACACGAGTTGCCGCCTGCCTCACTGCGGCTCCAACACACACACCATTTTTTCACTACCAAAAACCTATCTACCATTTATTTCAAAGATTCAAATTGATTTATCTCAACAAAGTCTTTTTGTATTTTCTTAAGACTGAAGGTGATTTGGGTTAGCTTAACGAGGGTCTTTTTGAATTAAAACAATCGGAAAGAACAAAAATACTTTGCATTGTTAATGAAAGTTTATGTCATTGTTACAAATACTTTAGTGTCTTTCATGATTAAATATTCAATAAATCAATCCTTAATTAAGGGGATGATTAAATTAAAGATACTAGTAAAAAGAGGTAAATGACAAAGTTAAGATAAAGTATGGTCCTTGCTGGTGCTTGCTTAAGCCAGCGTTTCATGTACAAATTCTTTTATTCAAAAATCTCTAAGACAAGACTATTGATGCGGAGGAAATTGTATACATCAATAAGAACATGGAACACGTGTGGGCCTTTTTACTGTGATTGGACAATTGTACTTTAGAAGAACAGACAACAGGTTGTAAACCTCGCAATAACCTGTATCGTACAGGCTTGTAAGGGGGTGGACACGGGAAGATGTTGTATTTACACAAAAACTTCAGTCCTATCAGCTCAAAATAGCAGCTTGAATCACAAAAAAAGGATAAACCTTTGAAGAGGGGTGGGGAGGGCATTTGTTACTTCCTTTTGTATCTGTTATGATAATAATTATGGATCTTCGAAGGTGCATGATCATCGGTAAGATTTTTTTTGGCTTTTAGTGTTGATAAACCCAATGCAATAATAGCCACCACTTCATTATCAAAAATCTTAAAATTAAAATCTTACCTAAACGCTACATTTAAATTCTAGATTAGAATAATATAAGCAAAATTCGAAAGTTTAAGGTAAAAATATTAAATCCTTAAGTTAAGAGAATTTTAAAATGTGAAAAACACCAGAACGAGGCTAGTCAGTCGTCTGTCATGGACTTTAACACATGAAAATCCGTGTAATTTTATGGAATTCACTGGAATTCTATTTTTAGCACTAAAAAATTCCAAAAATACATATTTCTACTTGCTATTCCTGATAGTCAGAGCTTATTACTTAAAGATTAGTTTTTTTCCCTGAAAGTCAATGGCGGCATTATTGCATTTCGTTCTATATTCTAAACATGTAACAATTGACCACCAACGTACGCTACACATAGCTGTTGAATATATGGTTATTACGCGGAGACTCGCTAGTTTATTTATTTATTTTTTATAATTATATGTCTAGACTACTGACGACAAAAGCATATCTGAGAAAGGGAGGATTATATGATAAGTAAATTGGCCGAGAAGTCATCATGGTAGAGTAGCGAGGCCCTGAGGCATGCTTTAGATTGACTGGCTCTATGTAACCGATGTTTTACGAAAGGCAAAAAAATGAGACCAAAAATTGCAAATGAGAAAATTGTTACGATGAAAAAGGACCAAAACACGGAACTAAGTTGACTGAGAATTATTGTTTGAAAGATTGTCTTTCAATTCTGACTTTTACGATAGGCAAAAAAATGAGACCAAAAGTTAAAAGCAAATAAAATCGTTACGCCTGAAATAGAGAATTGATGGGTTGCAAGCATTCCCAAAAGAGTCAAAAGACAAAAGCATGGCGGCCATTGTGGTGCAAATAAGAAATTGTACACGACTAAAAGAACAAAAACTCATTGAGCTAACTAAATGAGAATTTTAATTCGAAATTCTGACTCATCGCATGACACGCCACGGGCAATAACCGCACTTGACTACTACAATATCATGATCATAATAGTTTTATGCTAGATGATAATTGCAATATATTGAAAGTGATGATAATGGCGTCGTCGTCGACAATGATGATCATAGGTAACGAATAAATTAACTATATTTTATAATCACCGTAGTAGAAAYTTTATTTCTTGACCTTTGCCTATGATTATCTAGCTCTACTTAAAGCGGCATTATGACTTCCATTAAGTACTAATAAATTATTTGGTCATAAATGTATATTAAATAAGATTTGTCTGATTTTTGTAGTCTATGATGAAAGAACTGAACCGGCCCCGTATGAAGTATAATTCAAAACATCGGAATCTGAACTGAAATTACTAGTCCGGCGGAAAGGAATTCGAAATTATTCTGTCTGTAGTATACTCATCAATCAATGTCAGTAGGTACTTTAGCACTTACTGTGAAGTCATTAATCTGACTGATGTTTAGTAAAAATCCGGCAGGGAAAGGCGATCTTGTGACGTCATATAAGTGACGTCATGGCTTTGTAATGGGAAGTGCTTGCAATCAATATCCATAGGACATAGGGATTTTTTTCTCACTGCGGGTAGACTAAACGGTTCAGAGCTTAAAATAATATTTGAGTTTATGAAATGGGCTCACGTCAGTCGTGGACAACATAACGAAATTGCTTAGCGTCTTAAAGATAATGATGATGGTGATGGTGTTGCTGGTGATGGTGATGATGATGATGATGATGATGATGATGGTGATGGTGATGGTGATGGTGTTGGTGTTGGTTTTGATGGTGATGCTGGTGATGATGATGGTGATGATGATGATGGTGATGGTGATGGTGTTGGTTTTGATGGTGATGATGATGATGGTGATGATGATGATGATGTTGATGATGATGATGGTGATGGTGATGGTGATGGTGTTGGTTTTGATGGTGATGCTGGTGATGATGATGGTGATGATGATGATGATGTTGATGATGTTGATGATGATGATGGTGATGGTGATGGTGTTGGTTTTGATGGTGATGCTGGTGATGATGATGATGATGATGATGATGATGTTGATGATGATGATGGTGATGGTGATGGTGATGGTGTTGGTTTTGATGATGATGATGATGATGATGATGATGTTGATGATGATGATGGTGATGGTGATGGTGTTGGTTTTGATGGTGTTGATGATGATGGGGGTGTTAATGAAGATGGTGATGATGATGATGATGGTTAGGGGTAGAAAGAGAATTAAGAACAGGATCAGAGGATAAAAAAATAAAAACCAGCAACCCAGAGTAGTAAAGAATAGTAATTTGCACTATCTGCACGAAAACGAAAAACACGTGAAAAGCGACGTGAGAATACGAACTATAGTCTACTAATGATAAAACCACTGCTGCTGTTGATGGTGATGAAGATGCGATGAAGATGAAGAAGAAGAAGAAGAAGAAGATGATGATGATGATGATGATGATGAGATGTGAAAAGATGGTAATGGTGATTGTGATGGTGATGTAATAAAAGTGATAATGAAGAGTTGTTTCGGATGATTGATGACAGCTTCATCTTATTGTCTTTTCTAATAATATGACACACCGTAACACCCGGTCAAGGTCAGCGTATCGAATTCGTTTTTACCAACAACGATGAAAACAACCAAGATGCACGACTGAACACGGGGTTATTATTAGAATATAGCCAATGAAATAAAACCCCTCTTTCTACTTGTCGTGACTAAAAACACTCGTGTATACCGATGTTCATAATACAAATATAGATTGCTAGCAAATCAAAGCATCCATTAAATGAGATTAGCTTTTGAAGTCCAAAGCGGATGTTACGAGAATGGTTTCCTTTAACCTTGTCATTGTGAGTACCCGAGGCGACTCGACGCGGAAGGAAGTTAAATCAAGTCCTTTCTAAAAATTGAATAGAAACTCATAAAGAGTGTCATACTTGAAAAAAAACCTACATTTCATACACCGAAACGAAATATGGCGACCAATTTGAATAACTTTGGTACTGACTAGCCTCACATACATGTGAAAACGCTGTTATATTTCCAGGTGAACACAACCTAGTCAGTCGCTAGTCAGTGCAGAACAAAAGTTATTCAAATTGGTCACCATATTTCGATTCGGTGTATTAGCTATCCTGGCTGTAAATTAAAGATAACACAACTAAGAATCCAAGTTTATGATGTTTATATACAAACGTTTTATAAGAATAGTTCGCACCCCACGGAGGCAGGGGAGGGGAGGGTAAGAGAATTTAGAAAGTACAATGTGGTAATACGTAACCATTGTTGTGCAAAACGGCAAAGAAGAATGAAAATCAATGGCGCATTTAGCGATGATTGTTTTAGAAGTATTTTAGTGAACACACGAAATTTATTTCAAAGTATCCGACGACTGTGCTCTCTCTTCGATGAATAAGGTCAAAAGACACAAGTTTAATCCTGCCAAACCCACCGTTTCGTGGTTTGTCGTGGCTTGTCGCGCCGGCGCACTCTCTATTCCGTAGTAAAATAACGGTTATTGAAATTTGTATTTCGTAGAATAAATATGAACCTTGCTGTGCTGGGTTTAGTTGGGTATGGGCAGAACTCTCGAAAAGTGTTAGGAAGTACTTCGCTACGCGTCGTGCTTCTAATAACGCTTCTCTCGTGTTCTGCCAACCCCTTGTGAGCTTTATTTAATGAATATAAAACACGCCCGCATGTCTATGTGCTGTGATATAAACATGCTGGAAGCTGTAGAACACGAGAAAAGCAAGCTTATGAAGGCGTGGCCGAATAATTCTGTTGCCTTTAATTTCGAGTGCCTTACAGCTCCCAGAGAGTGTTTATATCACTATACAGAGACATTAGAAGCAACCGTTTTATATTGCTTTTATAAAAGATTTTTTAAAGATTTTGCGACAGCGTGTCTTTGTACTCTGATATTAACGCGGTAGCATGCCAATAAGTGCGTGCGTCATATAAAATATCTTATAGAGCTGTGCACAGCACGCGCGCGTTTTTTCTCTTTTCGTCATCTAGAGGGAGTGTTCCCAACACAACCACCCTACATTGTTCTGG